TGAGTGCTGGGATTTAAGGTGTGCACCACCACCATTCAGCTAAACAATAACTTCTTCTTCTTCTTCTTCTTCTTCTTCTTCTTCTTCTTCTTCTTCTCTCCTCCTTCTCCTCCTCCTCCTTCTTCTTTTTGGTTTCTCGAGACAGGGTTTCTCTATCCTGGCACTCCCTCTGTAGACCAGGCTGGCCTCAGACTCACAGAGAGATCCCCCTGCCTCTGTCTCCTGAGTGCTAGGATTAAAGGTGTATGCCACCACCACCTGGCCTTCTTATTCTTCTTTTTTTAAACAAGCCAGGGATAGCACTGTCCACCCTGGGCCGGGACTTTTGCACAAATCATTAAGAATCAAGAAAATGCTCCAAGGACTTGCCTACGGGCCAATCTGAGAGAAGCAGTTTCTCAGTTGAGGTTCCCTCATCCCAAATGAAACAGACTGATCCATTAGTGTGTAGCCTTCCTCATCATTCCCAATTGCCTGACCCTCTCCTGGGATGGAACATTCTGGAAAAGTCCCATGCCTCTATCATCTTTTAGTCACCAAACTCCACAACACGACTTCACCACTCCTCTGCGGTTCAGACTTTTGCCGCTCTCAGGACACCGGCACAGCTCTCTCACCCTCCATTTATTCTTGGGTCTGGGACCCCTCCTTCCTCTCTGTCACTATCCACCACACTTCTACTCTGCTCAAACCACAGGACCCCTCCCTTAAGTCCACTGTCCTCTTACTCTGTATGGACTCTGGATTTAAACCTATAATTATCAGACTCCTCAAAGTCTACATTCCATGGCTTACGAACTCTCCACACAACACTCCCATTTTGGCCATCTGGAAGCCAGACAGCTTCCCCCACTTAGCTAAAGACATATACCTGCTTAACCAAGCCTCAATTCCTATTGGCCCAGTGGCCTGCCAATCTTCCACCTCTCCAGCCCTTGTCCCTCTTTTTACCTCTCATTTCTTGGTTCTGGGTCAAGACCTTTTCACATTTATTTGGCCAGAGCCTGACATCCAAATATCTTGGACAGTCCTTCCCCAGGGGTTTCCCTGGAGTGTTTTCTTCCACCAGTCTCTTGCTGGCAACCTGGAAAACCTCAACCCTGTGCTCAGCACTTTCCTCCAATATGTAGAGCACCTCTTCTTTGAACTGCTTCTAAGCACACCTATAGTGTCCTGCGTTTTCTGGCTGACCGGGGATACTTGGTGCTCCCTCCTAAGGTCCAGATAGCATCTTCTACACATCGAACCTTGGTCTCCTCCCCCTCCTCCCATGGCATATCTCAAAGCTGCAAAGCTGTAATCTAGGATCTACCTAACTCTCCCCAAACCAACCAACCTGAACACTACCTTCTCTCCTTCCAAGGCTTAGCAAATGACTTTTGGATCTGGATTCCTAACCTGGAAGTCTCAGCCAAACCTTGTTACCAAGCTTCTCGTGATCCTCACAGATCCTCTGGACACTCCTAACCTAATCCTCAGTCCCCAATGTCAAAGGAGCCCTTTCAACCTCTATAGCAGTAAAGATTCTAGACCCCTCTAAATCCTTCACTCTGTTTTTGCAATCCTCTCATAACCCGGCCTTAGTCTTCTTAGTTCTATGGAGAGACACCTCAAGTAACATATATATATCCAAACAATGGCCTGTAAATCCAAATGATAGCCTGCATGTCCAAACACATTCAGTATCACAGGGGGCTGTCTAGTCTTAGTGCTTTAGACTCTTGGAGCTGCCTCCCTCTTCACTTTTTTTTTTTTTTTTTTTTGAGCTGGGTAGTGTGGCACACACTTTTGGGGCAGGCAGATCTCTGTAAGATCAAGGCCAGCTAGGGCTACATAGAAAAACCTTGTCTTGAAAAGCCAAAGGAGAAACAAAAATGGGTTTTTTTTGAGATTTATTTTTAATTTTTATGACGTGTGTGTGTGTGTGTGTGTGTGTGTGTGTGTGTGTGCGCGTGCGTGCCAGCGCGCGTGTGCTCGAATCTTAATGTGAGTGTCCTTGGAGGGCAGGAGAGGGCATTGACTCCTTTGGTACTTGGGTTGCAGGTGGTTGTGAGTAGCCTAGTGTGGGTTATGGGAATTGAACTCAGGTCTGGTGAAAGAGTAGTAAGCACTCTTTACTACTGAGCTATATCTTGCCAGCCAGTTTTGCCCTGATTCTTTTTTTTTTTTTTGACAGGGTCTCTCTCTGTGTAGTCCTGCCTGTCCTGGTGTCCTGTAACTCACTCTGTAGACCAGGCTGGCCTAGAACTCACAGAGATCCTCCTGCCTCTGCCTCCTGAGTGCTGGGATTAAAGGCATTCGACACCACTGCCTGGCTTCTGCCCCGAACTTAAAGTTTTCTTTTCTTCTATTGTTTTGGGTGTTTTGTTTGTTCTTTCCCCCACTGCCCTGGGATTTAAGGTGTATCATGAAGTCATTGGAGATTTATCTGTCTTGAAAAACCTGAAAAAAGAAAAAAGAAAGAAAAGCAAAGAAAAAAAGCCCTTTGCAAAGCTACAGACAGTTTGCCAGAGGTTGTCTCCCCTTGAAAGGCTGAAAATCACCCCAGAGTGTGAGCCCAACACCAGATACAACAGTCATATTGGGTTGCTCCCACAATCAGTATAAAGCAAACTTCTTTACTCTGGTTCACTACTTTTGCTTTGAAATTTTTACCCTCAGGTATTGAGACAGTGACATCTGCTTGTTTCCTAGATGCACTTCACTTGGAACATCTTTTTCTATCCTTCTGCCCTAACACAGTGGTGTATTGTGTTTCTTGGAGGAAACCAATAGATGGTTCCTGCCTTATGATCCAGGGAACCAGTCAGGATCTGTTGGTTGGGAATGGACACCGCCAATGTACACAGCTGGAATTGAAAGCTGGTTATTGACTGCTGCCGTTTTGTTGAGCTGGTAGTGTTTGGGGTTTTCTTCTTTCCCTTTCTTGCTTAACTATTCTTCTTGTATGGGTTATTCTTTCCTGTGGCCTCACAGATGGATTTGTTTTTTTTCTCTTCAGTCCTAAGGATTCATGCAAGTATCTTCTGTGGAACTGGGTTATTGGCTATACATTCCTTTAGTCTACTCCTATTGTGGAAAGTTTTTATTTTTATTCAGTTAGACAGTTTTTCTGGGTATAGAAGTCTACATTGGCAGTTGCTAGTTTTCTTATTAAATGTCTTTAGATTTAGTTATCTCATTATGTTATGTGTGTGAGTATTTTGCCTGTGTGTGTGTGTGTGTGTGTGTGTGTGTGTGTGTGTGTGTGTGTGTGTGCACCACATGAGTGCCTAGTAACTGAGAAGGTCAGGAGAGGGCACCACATCTCCTGGAAGTGGAGTTGTGATGTTTGTGAGCCTTCATGTGGGCACTAGGAATTGAACCTGGATCCTCTGTAACAGCCAACAAGTGGTATTTACCACGGGGCCAACTCTCCAGCCCCAGTGGTTAGCCTGCAGAACTTGAAATACGCTATTCCAAGTTCTTCTGACTTTTAAGGTGAATATCTTGTGTTCTTCTGACGGACAAGACTTTGTCTGTGAATTGGTGTTTTTCTCTTGCTACTTCCATATACTTTCTTTGTTCTGTATATTTGATGTTTTAAGTGTAATACGATGAATGCAAACTCATCTTGTTTCTTAACTCTGGGAAATTTTCTATGATTGTTTTGAAAATATTTTCCAGGGTGGCCTGGACCTCACTGTGTAGACTAGATTGTCCAGGAACCAGAGACCTATTTGTCTCCTCCTCTTGAGTCCTTCCTAGATGCTTATTAATCCCACCAAGTTCACAATTGAAATTAATCATCCCAGTCTCACTGGGTAGACTGGGCTGGCCCTCAAATTCATGGCAATCCTTCTACCTCACCTCTCTGACTATGGGATTGCAGTTATGTGCTACCATGCTCAACTTAAAAATGAAAAGTAGTTTTGAAGTAGAATGAAGTAAAAAGATCAATTATTAGATACTGATTTGTTGATTTATTTAGTGATTTACTGTTTGTACTGCTTATTTGCAGAGCATGACTTCACTTGCTAACGAACAGAATGACCTGTTGAAACAATGGGTTGTTGTTCCTAACAACCTGCTGACTGCCATGTACTCTTAGGTAAGATCTTGCTTGCCGGCCTGCCCCAACTTGTGCTTTTGGAGTATAAAGTGAGTATACAAACTGGATGGTCCTGGGATCGAGGCCTTTCTAAGAAGTCCTGGCTTAGGTTTACTGGGATACCTCCATCTCTTCCTCTGTCATTGGTATTGGAGTGCTTATTCTAGGATTTCCAACAACAATTTTATTGAGTTGCATGGGGTGGTGCACACCTGTAATCAATCCCAGCACTTAGGAGGCTGAGGCAGGAGGATCCATGTCTAAGGCTGGTCAGTGCTGCATAGTGAAACTATCTTTAAAGAAATAGTCCATTGGGTGAATGCTGATGCACCATACCAGAAAGAGAAATTTTATTGTGGACTTCCTGAGTTCTGGTAGGCCAATTACCATTGAAATGGAGGCCCTTTCCTCCTGGGAAAACGGTAAAAGAAGTCGGTTTACATTACTAAGAGGTAAAATCAACATGGGAAAATAGAATGGGAAAGCCTGGGCCAGTCCAGAGCAGGAGTGTGAGGGCTCAGTGGATCATACATCCGCTGTGGTCTGTTTTAGCTTTTCTTCCTGTTTTAGTTTTTCCTATTAACAGTCCTGGCTGTCGTGGAACTCGCTTTTTAGACCAGGCTGCCCTCGAACCCACAGAGATCCGCCTGCCTCTACCTCCCAAGTGCTGGCATTAAAGGTGTGTACCACCACCGCGCGGCTTGTTTTGGCCTTTCTGACCGCAAAAGCCTAAAGGGAGCGGATGAGCGGAAGTGGGAAACCTGCCTCCAAATCCTCTGTTGCAGATGCAGGCCTTGGGCAGCACGAGCACACCTGGCCCCTAGAAGCAGGCGCCTCTAGCCACGCCCTTCGCACAAGGCGTGGGCGGAGCTTCTGGCGGAAGGGCAAGGAAGGAGGAGGAGGTGACGCGGAAAGCGGGCGCCGGTTTCGCTCAGTGGCTGGGAGGAAGCTCGGCTGCCCAGCCGGCCGCGAGCAGGCCGGAGTCCCGGTCGCTGGCCGGGCTTCTCCGGGTGTGGGCGTGAGCAAGGCAGCGGTCCCGGCCGCTGCAGCGTTCGTCCAGCCAGCGCGTTAGGTGCCGGGAGCAAAGAACGTAGGTAAGCGGGAGCGGGGCAGCCCAGGCGTCCGCAGCGCTGCTGACCAGCCCTTCCCCACGCCAGCTCAGCGCCGCCCGAGGCCCGCACGCTTCCCCACGGCCGCGCTGCAGGCCGCCTAGTGGGCGCTGGTCTCCGGGGACCGCGGCCCTCCTTCCTGCTCTGCAGCACGAGCCTTGAGATCCAGACAGACAGAGGACCCGCTCCCCGGGCCGCTCCTTCTGAAGCCGGGGGAAGCTGTGCCTGAAGCTTAGTTGTCAGGCTCTCAGCTCTTGCCGAATCGGAAGTCGAGGGCTTTAAGTTGATCGGACACCGTTGCTTGCTCCTTGCTTCTTGCTTTGGTTCCTTCCCACCGTGCTTATGCTTGGTATTCTTGGGCTTAATGATGGTGGGAGGGTACTTTTTTATTTTATCTGTTCTGTGCAGTGTTAACCCCGATTCCACTGCGGGGCCATTCTGTTGGGGGAAGTGGGATGCAGAAAGGTCATGAGAGTTTGTACTTAAGAGTCCGGAGAAGCTGAATTGAAGCTCTAGCCTGCCATTTGGCATTGTTTTTAATTCACCGCCTGAATGTAGGCATGTTCTTACACCTATACAAATTACTTGGAATAATTGAATGAAAATTTTCGAGGCTCTGGTTAAAACGCCATTTAAGAATATTCAGGACACAACGGTACATGTCCTAATTATGCTTTTGCCTTTTGTCCAGATTAAGCTTAGTGTCGAGAAGAGTGCCAGGAGAGATACCAGGATCTTGTGTGGTTGGAACTTAACTGCAATCTGTGCTTTGAGTGTGCAGCATCCAAGAAACCTAGTCACTCAAATGCCTTGTGCTTATCGATAAAGCACTAGTATAAGAAAGATAACTCATCAGTTTCTCTCATTATGAGATATCGCTTGTGCACTAGGCCTTTGGAAAAGGCCTGGGAGATGCTTGATCTATGTTTCATTCCATTTAGGAGTCCTTTGCACCTATATCTCAGATTCCCGATACTCTGCTCCTAAAACATTTCATGTGTCGCTCAGGTTGGGAGGCAGTTTGCCTTGTGGATTATTCTGGCCTTGAACTTGCAGTGTTCCCTGTCTCAGCCTCCCAAATGTTGGGATTACAAGTCCAATTTGTACATCTTTTCCCTCTTCTCTCACTTCTGCTCCCACCATCTTTCATATTAAAAAATGGGTGTGCATATTTTGCCTGCATGTATGTGCACCATATGCTTGTCTGGTGTCTATGGGGAGCAGAAGAGGGTGTTGGATTCCCTGGAACTAGTGCTATGGAGGGTTATGAGGCACTGTGCGGTGCTGGGGACAGAACAAGTGCTCTTGAGCACTGAGCCGTCTACCCTGCCGGCCCACTTGTTTTTCATAGTAGCCAGTCCCCTTGCCTTTCTTTTCTTTGCCTTTCTCCCTCACCTTTAATTTATATTGTTATTATTATTATTATTATTATTATTATTATTATTATTATTATAGTGAACCCAAGGTATTACACATGCTAAGCAAGCACTGAGCCTGGTTCCCCAGCCCCTAGCTCCCATGTCTTCTTGATTTTCTCCCTTATTTTTGTAATGGTACTTCTTATCTTGTAGCCCTTTGAGAATGGTATATGGGGGGGGTGTATACTTTGATAAGTCACCAGTCTGAAAACCTTTTTCTGTTTTCAGTCATTAATTAGTTCTTAGGTGGGCCTAAAATCTCTTGTTAAATAATTTTCCCTCAGAACTTGGAAGGCATTTCTCCATTGTTTTCTAGTTTCTAGTCACATGGGGGTGGGGTGCTCTAGACTGTGTGGGGCGTGCTTCCTGAATTGCTTCTACACTCTATTTATTGAGACAGGATCTCGCATTAAATGTGGAACTCACCCATTTGGCTGACTGGTTGACCATCAAACCCTAGGATCTGTCTTCTGTTACTATCCAGGTCTGGGAATATAGGAATGTGTTGTTGTGTTCAGCTTTTATGTGGGTCCTGGGGACCCAAAATCAGGTCTTCATGTTTGTGTAGCAAGCATTTCTCCTACTGAGGCACCCCCCCCCCCCCCCCCCCCCCCCCCCCATCCTCTTGCTCTGGTCTGGCTACTTAGCTGATCTTGAAATCTGTCTACCTTAGCCTCTTGAGTACTTGGGTTATAGGAGTGTAGCTACACCTGGCTGAGTCAATTACTTCTTAAGAGAGATTGCAGATCTTTTTCTGTTTCTTTCATTCTGTTTTTGTGTTTGTTTGTTTTTTGAGACAAGATTTCTCTGTGTAACAGTCTTAGCTATCTTGGAACTCACTTTGTAGACCAGGCTGGGCTCAAACTCACAGAGACCCTTGCTTCTACCTCACCACACCCGTGCTGGGATTAAAGGCATGTGCCACCATGCCCTGCTCATTCTGTATTTTTTTTATTTGAAATTATAAGGAAAATGTGCCTTGTACCTGTTTTGTTCCCCTTTAAAATTATACAAGGCATAGTGATGCATGCCTTTAATCCCAGCACTCCAGAGGCAGAAGCAAGCAATCTCTATGAGTTCAAGGTCACCAAGGCTGCATGATGAAACCCTGTCTTCACTCTGTTTCTCTTTCACACAGAGTATTTAATATATTCTTGGGTTCTAACTAACATGCATTTGGTTGCTAGGTGGATTTTTGAGCATCATGAGACTGTCTTTGTATATCTTTTTGACATGGCATTATTTATTTTTTGAGCCCCTGTGTATGTTCTGGCACTACAGTGACATTTCAGATTCATATTTTGCTTTCGCTGCCCAGTACTGATTTTTTTTTTTTTTTTTTTTGAGACAGGGTCTCCTGTAGTTCAAGCTGGCCTTCTAATAGGCTATGTAACTAGTGATGATGTTGGTTTCCTTATGCTCCTGTCTCAGCCTCCAAAGTGCTGGGATTTCAAGCTTGAGTCACTATGCTGTCACTTCTTTGAGTAGAGGAGTATATTTAGAACCCAAGATCTGGTGGTTAGAGTGCTCATTGTTTACTGAACTGTGCTCTGCATTGACAGTCAAGAAATGTATGTCTGTGTATGCACACATCCATATCTATGTCTGTATTAAACACTGAGTTCTACCTCCAATTTTTTTCATCATTTCATGGTTCATTGTTTCTCTAGTGGTGGAAAGTCTAGCTTTAATTATCCACAGCATATTTTACTTTTTGCTCAACTTTAGAATACTGATAATATCAGAATTGACTCCTACTTCTATGGAAAAGCAGATTTTTCTGTGCATTATGCAATATCTGTGTGCACTCTGTCTTTAGCTCTTGAGCATATAGTCAGAATATTGTTGTCTATTAATTTTCTCCTTTTGTGGTGTGCTTGTATTAGACATTTGAAATAAAGGGGCTAAGAGATACAGCTCATTGGGTGAGTGCCTGCTGGGCATTCATGAGGACCTAGTTTAGTCTCCAGTACTGCAGAGAGGAAAAGCAAGCAAGCCAGGTTCATTTACGATGTGAAGCTTTAAGTTTGTCCTACAGCCGGACCAGCAGGAAAAACATACAGAGAACTAGCCCTTCCCTCCTCATTTCTTCTACCCCCCACCTTTGGAACTCATCTGAACTTTGCCTTCTTCATCTAAGAATGGATCCTGTAAATCACTGCATGCTGGTTCCTAAAAGAATGCTTGCCCCAATGAAGCTTTATTCATCATGTAGATAAACTAGTTATTTCAACCATGCTCTTGCTGAAGGCATTGGTTGAATATTTGCTATTATAAACAATGTTGCAACAGGCAGGTAGCCTTGTCATTATTATCATAGCTGTGTCTTCTGTTCAGATTGCTTCAAGTAAGGTTGCCAGATTGAAAGATAAATACTTTTGTGGTTTTTATGAAGTTTTACCAAATTCTCTTCCAAAATGATTATGTCAGTATGGAATTCCATCAGCAAAGTTTGAAAATGTCCTGTTCTGACAGGTGACAGAGTCAGGAGGATTGCATATTTGAGGTAGATCTGGGCTACAGAGGTGATACCTTCCAAACAAAGTATCTTTTGGATAGAGAGATGGTCAGCTGTAAAGAAAGTAACTTATCTTCTGAAGGAGAATGTGGTACACTTTTTCTGTGCTGATTAGTGCTAGGACATTGACACATGTGAGTTAACACTATCTTTGAGCATAGCCCTGGACCATGACCTCTTTTCTTTTTTACTTTGGTTATCCCGAGAATGCAGATATATCTCTTGGTGGCCTTAATTTGCATTTCTGTAAAAGCTAGCAAATTGAATATCGTCTCCTGTGCTCATTTGCCATCTGATTAGTCTCGTTAATATGGTTGTATTATTTTCATTTCTAACTCTGGCTTTTCAGAGCCTTTGGAATTTTCTTTGTATGCTCTCAGGACTAGTCCATGATCAAGTATGTGGCTTATAAATATGCTAGCTATGTTTGTTGTTTTTCTGTTGATTTTGATTTGATGTTTTCTTTTTTTCTCTTCTCTTCTCTTCTCTTCTCTTCTCTTCTCTTCTCTTCTCTTCTCTTCTCTTTCTTCCCCTCCTCCCCTCTCTCTTTCCCCTTTATTTGTAATGACTTTTCTTAAGGGTTAGTTGAACGAAGTTTTATGTTTAGGGGCTGTTTAGAAATCTTTATTTGTGATTGCCTCCTCCTTATATGTTTTTCCCATGGTTTATCGTTTCATTGATTGATTGATTGATTGATTGTTTTTTGAGACAGGGTTTCTCTGTGGCTTTGGAGGCTGCCCTGGAACTAGCTCCTGTAGACCAGGCTGGTCTGGAACTCACAGAGATCTGCCTGCCTCTGCCTCCTGAGTGCTGGGATTAAAGTCATGCGCCACCACTGCCCGGCACATAGGAATATTATTAACACTTTATATATCATGACTTTGGTTTCTTTCTCTCTTTTTTTTTTTTTTTTTGGTAAGTTTTTTGTTTTTTTTGTTTGTTTGTTTTCTCTGTAGACCAGGCTGACCTTGAACTTAGAGATCTGCCTGCCTCCTCCCAAGTGCTGGGATTAAAAGCATCGGCCACCACTATCTGGCTCTTTGTTAAGCTTTTTATAGAAATTTTCATTGATAAAATTTTTGTATTTTTTAGGCTCTTAATCTTTGTGCTGGTTATCAGTGTCTGTTTGTTAGCATGTTAGTTAGGAAGGAACCAGTGCAACGACTAGTCTTTATTAGAAGAAACTTCACATCACCTTCTGAACAGTTAATGCAGGGACTCAGTGGGTTCCAACTTGGAGGAATATCTATGTGTTGATTTAAGGATTTTTTGTAGGATTGCCACAATCTGAGGATGAGTTGAAAAGGTGTCTCGTTGACTGTATCACTCTCCTTGCAGGACATCTGTTTTACCCTTTCTGAAGAGTAACCTACTCTTGGGGAAGAAAGGGTGTCGTAATTAGGATCTAGAGTCTCATACATTTCTTTGATGTCAGAATGCACTGAAGAATAATTGTTTGGCCTTTTGGGGGAGCATTAAATATCTATGATCTTTTCTCCTCATTGGCAGTCTGACTTACAAAGTATTGGTGAGGAGGGCAAGGTCACAACCTGAACTTGTTTATTTCAGTTTGCTCTGCACTGTACTATCTTACTGGTGTGAGTCTCCTGACTCATCTTCTCTCTCAGGGTAGGAGGCAGGATCTGGGATGGAACTTCTATTCAGACTTTCTGAGACCTTCCTTTTTCAGCTCCGTCCCTACTCCTAACCTTCATAGGTATTTGTTACCTCTAATTTGGGGCCTTTCTGAGGTCATGTAGCTTACTTCATTGCGGTGCCTTTTTTGACCTGAGTGTGTTACTCATTCATCTGCTTTTTATTTTTTTGAAACAAGGTCTCACTGTATGTGTGGCCTTAACTGACCTGGAACTTGCTGTGTAGACCAGGCTGGCTTTGAACTCAGAGATCTCCAGCCCCTGCTGAGATTAAAGGTGTATTCCACCAAGTGTGACTGTTTCTTTTAGAAATTTTATTGATCTTATCTCCTCTTTTATTATCTTTGTCCTTGGGGCTTTTGCTCATTCATTGCTTCATTGATGTTTGTCTGGGTCTCATTATATAGCACCAAAGTTGTTCTTTAATTTGTGGTCCTCTTGCCTCTGCTTTTTGTGGGCTTTTTTGCCTTTTTAAAACCTTTCTGCAAACCATCATAGCATCTTCTCTCTCTCCTCTCTCTCTCTCTCCCTCCCTCCCTCCCTCCCCTCCCCTCCCTGCCCCTCCCTCCCCCCTCTTGTTTTTTTGAGACAGGGTTTAACTATGTAGCCCTGGCTGTCCTGGAACTAGCTCTGCAGACCAGGCTAGCCTTGAACTCACAGATCCTCCTGCCTCTGCCTCTGCCTCTGCCTCTGCCTCTGCCTCTGAGTGCTGGGATTTAAGGTGTATGCTACCACCACCCAGCCTCCCTCCCCCCTCTGTCTCTGTCTCTCTCTGTCTCTCTCTTTCTCTCTCTCCCTCTCCCTCTCTCTCCCTCTCTCTCTCTTCTTTTTATGGTGCTTGCAGGAGCAGGGGTGAGGGGTTGAGAGGTTATTACTTGAGACAGAATAACTTAACCAGTGCTACACACTACTGAAGAATATGATTCCCCTCCCCAAGTAACCTTTCATTGTGTATAGCTTCTCAGGGAAGAGAGGGTGAGCCCTTCCTCCATCCATGATGGAGTGTTGATGGGTCCAGCCCTGTACAGGTCCTAAGTAGATAACCATCACTGTTGTGATTTCATGGGTGCAACAGCCATGTCACATCCACAAGACAGAGTTCCATAGTACTTTGTCTTGCCCGCTTACATTCTTTTCGCTCCTTCTTCCTCTGTTCCCTGAGCCTCAGGGGATATGATATAGATGTCCGTTTTAGAGCTGAGCACTTAAGAGTCACTTATTTATACCACTTTGATCAGTTATGAGTCTCTGCATTAACTATTGCCTGCTTCATACAGAAGCTTCACTGACCCAGGCTCAGAGCAGCTCTAATCTGTGGATATAGACATAAATAGCCAGAAGGCAGTGTGATACTATGTTCTAGTCAGAGCTCTACTACTTGTAGGGCCTGTCACCTCCCTAGTCATGGGATTTTGACCAGGTTTATAGGACCAGGCATGAATGACCATCTGTGGGGGGCCAGCCTCAATTTCACTGAGAATTGCTTGGTGTCCTCATAACTGTTTTGCCACTGTTGCTCCAGCAGACACATCTTCCGGGTAGGTTGTAGCTTGCAGGTCATATCTCTGTCAGACTGATGACCCTTCTCCCACTGACCCTGAACAGCTCTGTCTAGCTCATTCCCTGAGTGTTAGGGTTGATTATGTGTGTGTGCCTTCATGATCGGTTTCAGGTGGTACTGTGGACTGAATCCAGGGCTTTATGATGCTAAGCAAGTACTGTATCTCCAGCCCCACCTCGTCTTGTTTATTGATGCTGGGTATTGATGCTGTGCATGCTAGGCTGGCACTGACTATTCTAGATTTGTGTCTAATTTTCATTCATTCCTTCTCACCCTTCACCTCTATTTCTGAAATTCTGTGTGTGTTTGTGTTTGTCTGTGGTCCGTAAATTTACTTGAGAGCCAGTATAACTGGATGAGAGCAGCTGACAAACTCTTGTTCTTTATAGACACTTAGACTCTGACCTGTCAAAGTGGAGTCTGGTCTCCTTAAGGTTGATGGCTGTGTGGACCAAAGATACTTGCCCTTTAAAAAAAATTGCCAGGGAAAGTTGTTTTTCTGTGGGCAAGTTATAAATAATTAGATATGAAATCTGACAGGGTATTTGGTCCCTTTCCTGTTACTATCTTTCAGTTTACAATAGAAAACACAGAATCCAAATGACTTGCTTAAAGTCACTTAGCTAATGAGAAACAGAGTAATTCTGTGGCTGGCAAGTGGCTCAAGTACTAAAAACCCAGAAATTCTCTTCTGAGCCTTTGCCTTATGTGTCCTATTAGAAACTGATACAGTGGGCTGAAGAGACGGCTCAGCAGTTAAGAACACTAGTTGCTTTTGCAGAGAACTCAGGTTCAATTCCCAGCACCCACAAGCTCACAACTATCCATAATTACAGTTCCAGGGATCCTACGGTCCTCTTCTGACCTCCTCGGCAGTAGGTCTGTATGTGGTGCACCTCCATACCTTCAGGATAGTATTCCTGCACATGAAATAAAAAGAAATCACAGTAACAGAAACTGGTGTATACTGAGAAGTTTTGGTTGCTTTGTTTTTTGAGACCAGGTTTGTTTGTGTAGTCCTGGCTGTCCTAGAATTAACTCTGTAGACCAGGCTAGCTTTGAACTCACAGAGATCTGTTTGCCTCTGCCTCCTGAGTGCTGGAATTAAAGGTGTTAGCCACCACTGCCTGGCATCTTTTTGTTTGTTTGTTTGTTTTGTTACACGGTGTCACTATACAGCCTTGGCTGACTTCACTGTGTAGAACTCACTATGTAGAAGAGGCTGGTTTTGGGCTGGAGAGATGGCTCAGAGATTAAGAGCACTGGCTGCTCTTCCAGAGGTCTTGAGTTCAATTCCCAGCCACCATATGGTGGCTCACAACCATCCATAATAAGATCTGGTGCCCTCTTCTGGTGTGGAGGCAGAATGTTGTATACATAATAAATAAATAAAATCTTTTTAAAAAATAAGAAAGGAAGGAAGGAAGACAGTACTTGACTTAAAAAACAAACAAACAAACAAAACTCAAGAAGAGGCTGGTCTTGAACTCCCTGATATTGAGGTCCACCTGGCCTCAGCTTCCCCAGTGCTGGTATTAAAGGCATGTGTGAATGCCCTGCCAGAAATGATTCTTGAAACATCCCCATCCGAGGCAGGTATAGAGAAAATGGGGCCTTGTTAAATGCTCATGTCTTCTTTCCAGTTCTCCTTACTGTGGGAACCTCGATCAGGTAGGATTTCTTTATGGCTGACAGAATAAATTGGAATATGTATGTTCTTTTTCATTTCTTTGATCTTAACTGATATATGTCTTTATGATATATTCACATTGAATTTTAACTTCGCCTTTTTTTTTCTGTATAGGTACATTAGTTCTCATTATGCATCAGAAAAATGAAAAAACAGAAGAAAATTCTATGGAAAAAAGGAATTCACTTAGCCTTTACTGAGAAATGGAATACTGGGTTTAGAAGCTTTAAGAAGTTCTATTTTCCTCAAAATGTGTGCTTTCTGAAAGCTAGGCTGGGAAGGCCAGTTGTTTGGGGTAGACAGTTGAAGCATTTCCAGTGTAGTAAGAAGGCTCTTCATATCCAGAAATCATGGATCCAGGATGTACCACTTTGTGCAAAGGCGAAGTCTGGAGTGGCTACTCAAAATGTTAGTACTTTGTATGCCAAAGTGAAAAGAAAGAACACTAAGCACTTCATTTCTTCCTCAAGGAGTCTCCTGAAACTCCAAGCAGATAAGTTACTGTCATCAGCAAAGAACGTGGACCATGAATACTGCAGAGAGAAAAGCCTCCTGAAGGCAGTTACTGGCTTGTCAGCAAATACTGGTTTAGGGAAGGCCAGTGGTCACAAACCTAGGACAGGCCCACAAGCTTCAGACTTTCCCATGAAGTTCAATGGGGAGAGCCAAAGTCCAGGTGAGAGTGGCAAGATTGTGGTCTTGAACAAACATAGAAAGCGCATTTGTTATGGCTGCTACCAAGGGCTAGAGCACCACAGGAATGGGAAACCCTTGATTCCAAAAAAGTTCCAACTTAACCAACATCGAAGAGTCAAAGTGTCTCTTATGATGTATGAGAAATTATCCATGATTAGATTTCGGTATAGGATTTTCAGATCCCAGCACTTCAGAACGAAAAACAGAGTTTGCAAGCTAAGAAAAGCCCAGAGGAGCTGGGTGCAGAAGGTCACTGGGGACCATCAGGAGAACCTCAGGGATAACACTGAGGGTGGCAATTGCAGCCCAGTCCCTTCCCTGGAACCTGAAGACCCTTGTCGGTGTCAGCCATACTTTTCAGACATGGATGGCAGTGTTGCCGTAAAGGGAATGAACTCTCACGTGCCTGATGGCCACAGTAAAGAAAGCCCTTTCTTGGACAAGGAGCATAGTTTAGATGAAGCATTCCCTGACCAACAGAATGGCAGTGCCACATATGCCTGGGACCAGTCACCCTCTTCTCCTAAGTGGGAGTGTACAGAGCAAATTCATGAGATCCCTTTAACAGAGCATCCTTCTGGTAACACATTCACTTCAGAAACAGAAAGAGCAGTTATGACTTTGGGTCAGGAAAGCGGGACAAGTGCTGTGAGTGACGACAGAGTGAGACTGTCAGTGTCTGGAGCAGACACATCTGTGAGGAGTGTAGATGGGCGTGTGTCTAAAGAGCCTCCTCAGAATGAGAACTTCCAGATGGAGGAGGATGGGTCGCTCAAGCAGAACATTTTGAGTTCTAAGCTGCTGGACCACCCTTATTGTAAAAGTCCGCTGGATGCTCCCTTGGTGTGCAGTGAACTCAAAGTAGAAAGCCAAACAGCAGGTGGCAAGAGCAGTCAGAAGGCTTCTCCAGTGGATGATGAGCAGCTCTCAACCTGCCTCTCTGGTATGCACTGTTCTTTGTTGCTCTCCAACCTCTGGCCCACACTTGCTGTCTGTTACCCTTTCCAGAAGAGTCTTGCTTTACCTCCCACACATGGCTTTCCCTTTAAGCCATCAATGTTCGTGATGCCTTTTATGCTGCTCCATTATGGAGATGTTGCTTAGCTCACTTCTCGGTTTGTTGATGGACACTTGTATTGATTTTGCTATAAGGGTTCAATGAACTCTCTAATACAATTGTTTCTGTAAGTTAAATTGCCATTCAAATTGCTGGTAAAAGAATATTGGTACTTAAACATTTTAAAAGGATGACCAAATTATCTTTTAAACTTGTTTCACCAGTCAGTCTTACAGACTACAGATGAGAATTTTAAAAGATTGTCTTTGTTTTTAGACAGAATCTTAGGTAGTCTAGCTTGGCCTCAGACTTGCCAAGTAGTCAAGGATGACTGTGAGCTTGTGATCCTCTCATGTGGAGACACAGGGGACTAGGTTAAATATAATTTATTTCGGGGAGAAGTCACTTACTTACACAAGAAACAGATGGCTGCCGAAGGTTCAGGTTCTAAGGATAGGCCTGCTAGGGACCCCAGACCTAAACTCCTCCCCCCTCACCTGTCACCACTACAGGTGCGGGCGGGGTGGATATCTCTATACAATTCCTCTCTTAGTCTAAAGAAAAAGATTTAGGCTCGCTACAAACTATATACAAGGATAGCAAATATTAAGTATGCTCTAGGAGAAGGAAAGGTAAGAACAAACACACTTAAGATCTGTTGCAGTGAAGCAGCTACAGCAAATGGCAAAAACTACACTCTCAAGTGCTGGAATTACAGGTATGTTAATAACATACATGATTTATGTGGGGCTGTGGATTGAATTCAGGGCCTCATGCATGCTAGGCAGACATTCTATCAGCTGAGCTCTATCCCCAGCTGGGATGACTTTTTTGTGTGTCTGCATTTTATTGTACATAGTTTTTCTTTGCCTAGTTTTCCTTTGGATTGTTTGGATTGTGTTTTGTTTTCTACGAACATAGCAACAAGCAGAATACACTGGTCTCTGCTTCCATTGACTACTATTCAGTCTAGTTATACTAAATTAATTTTAATTGCCAAAATTGTCTCTTCTAAAATATAACATTCTTTAATACCATAACATTGTTTATTGTTGCTTTAACAGAAATTTTTAAGTTTTTGTTGTTGCTTCTCCTCCTGCCTCTGCCTCCCAAGTGCTGGGACTAAAGATTGTGTGCTACCACCTGGTGTTATACAGTGTGTCTTGATTATATGCAACCCCAGCTTTCTCTCCCTAGCACCCCCAACACATCCCCTTCTTCCCTTCTTGTTCCCTCCATCTGTTTCTACCCACTGAGTTCTAATTGGACACTGCTGCCTGTGAGGATGTTGACTGGTTTTGTTGGCTTTACCTTGTGCTGGTAACCATAGTTTGCAGTGAGCTCACGAGAGCAATGGTCATGACATGTCTAGAGGACAGCATTTCACAACACCTACTCTGTCTCTGCGCATTATAGGAGTTGCCATAGATGTCCCAGTTACGGCTGACTGAGCACTGAATAGTTGCTGATTTTCAGCATTTTTTTCCCCTCCAAGACAGGGCTTTTCTGTGTAGTTCTGCCTGTTCTAGAATTCACTCTGTAGACCAGGCTGACCTGGAACCCAGAGATCTGCTTGCCTCTGCCTCCTGAGTGCTGGGATTTAAAGGTGTGCGCCACCACTGCCCTGCCTAGTCGCAGCATTTTGACCAGTTACAAGTCTGCGTTAAACACTGTCAACTGGAAAAAGAATCTTTTCTGGTTGAGGTTAAGTACTAATCTCTGGTTCTAAACATAAATATTTAGAAGGCAGATTGGCAGTTGTCCATTTAGCAAAAAACAAAATAAAACAGTAGCAGGTTCCCCACTAAGCCTGTAACTTCCCAGCCCATGGGATTTTTTTTTTTTTAAGATTTATTTATTTATTATGTATACATTGCATGCCAGAAGAGGGCACCAGATCACATTACAGATGGTTGTGAGCCACCATGTGGTTGCTGGGAATTGAACTCAGGACCTCTGGAAGAGCAGTCGGTGCTCTTAACCCCTGAGCCATCTCTCCAGCCCAGCCCGTGGGATTTTGATCAGGTTTTCAGTATCAGGGATGAATTCATTCCTGTGGAGCAGGTCTCAGATCCAGCCAGAAAGTTGTTGGTTACATCGTAGTCTTCATGCCAGTGTTTCACCAGTGGGCACATCTTGTGTGGCCTGTTAGTATTGGAGCATTCAGGGTCCAGGGTCAAGCGCTGGTAAGACTATTCATATCTTTTCTTCTCCTTGACTGCACAGCACTCTGAAAGCTAGCCAGTAGGAGGAAGCTGTCAGGTCAGTTCCAGCCTGATTTCTCTGTAAGAAGACAGCCTTTTTAAATTTTTTTTTTTTAATTTAAGGAACATCAGTCAAGATTGTAGAACCTAAAATTTAATTTTTGTTGTTGTTTGGGACATTTCTCCCCTACCCCATTTTTCTTTAGGATATAATTTTTTATGGTTTCATTTTGTAATTTAAAATATTTGTGCTATAAGTTAGCATACAAACTAATGGATTTTATTACTGCATTTTAAAAATGTTTTTATTTATTTATTTATTTATTATTTTAAGACAGGGTTTCTCTGTGTAGCTTTGGAGCCTATCCTGGCACTCGCTCTGGAGACCAGGCTGGCCTCGAACTCACAGAGATCCGCCTGTCTCTGCCTCCCTAGAGCTGGGATTAAAGGCATGCAACACCAACGCCTGGCCAAAAATATTTTATTTTTAATCGTGTGTGTATTGGTGTGTGTGTGTGTGTGTGTGTGTGTGTGTGTGTGTGTGTGTGTGTGTGTGTGTGTGTGTGTGTGTATGTGCCATGCAAGTGTAGGTGCTAGTAGAGGCCAGAGGATTCACAGGTGATTGTGAGCCACCTGGTAAGGGTGCTGGGAATTGAACTATGGTCCTCTGAAGAAGAATACACTCTCCTAACCACTGAGCTCTGGTTCCAACTTTACTACATTTTAAAACAATTCGATTTTTTTTTTTTGAGATTTTATTTATTATATATACAACATTCTGCTTCCATTTATATCTGCACACCAGAAGAGGGCACCAGATCTCATTACAGATGGTTGTGAGCCACCATGTGTTTGCTGGGAATTGAACTCAGGACCTCTAGAAGAGCAGTCAGTGCTCTTAACCCCTGAGCCATCTCTCCAGCCCTTTTTTGGTTTTTCGAGACAGGGTTTTTCTTTGTGTTTGGAGGCTGTCCTGGAACTTGCTCTTGTAGACCAGGCTGGTCTCAAACTCACAGAGATCCACCTGCATCTCCCTCCTTAGTACTGGGACCAAAGGCGTGTGCCACCACTGCCCAGCAACAATTCAGATTTTTATTTTTACTTTATTATTGTATGTGCATACATGATGTTTCTGTGTGGGTGGTTAGAGGACAGCTTTTTCACTTAAATGTAGTCTTCCCAAATATTAAGATTTCCTGACTTCTGTTGGGGCCATTCCTTCATGTAGAAATAAGACCTCTGTGTAGAAACAAGATAGCTATTAAGATATAAAGGCTGGGAATATAGCAAACATATATACTCTTGGGACTGGAGAAATAGCTCTGTGTTAACAGACCTGGCTTATACAGAGACCCAGGTTCTAGTCCTAGCACCCACATGATGACTCATAACCATCTGTAACTCCATTTCCAGGGGGCCTGACACTTCTCTGGCATCCTTGGGCATCAGGCATACATGTGGTACACAGACATATATACAGACAAAACACCCATACATATAAAATAATAAGAATAGAATATGTTAAAACATTATGTGCTTTATTCTTAGAACCTCCAGTAGACTTGGGTGGAGAATCAGGTAATGATTTCAAAAAAACCTAGGGCTGGGCTTGGGAGATGGCTCAATGGGTAAAGGGTAAAGGCACTTGCTCCCAAGCCTGGTATCTTGAGATCTATCCATGTCCTTTGACCTCTATTTGTATGCTGTATACACACAAGCACAATGAGTTAATGTAATAAAAATAAAGAAATAAGGGCTCTGGGTGCAGTTCTGTGCTTTGTCTAGCATGTTTGGGGCACTGAGTTGGGTTTCCAGCATTGCAAAAAGTTGGTAGCCACTCTGGTGGGAGATTAACAGGAGGCAATACAGGGTTTTCATCTTTGTTTCTCTGTGCAGCAGAGTCCTTTCCATTCTGAATCGATGGCCTAGCAGAAACCATTATTTGGAGCCACAGAAGGAGCTGGTTACGGCTTTCCCATCATAGTCCAGATTTAACCGTCAGCCTGGCAGGCTGTTGCTCTTCGTTATCAGCATCATCCCCAAAAATCACGTTTCCACCTTTGTGAGCCCCTAAGCCTTCCTCAGCTTCTTTGTTACCTGTTTACAAGTAATGTTGGGTTTTATTTCCTGGGGACTTTGCTTAGTGATTATCATCATTGAAACCTTTAATGAATATATACATGAATTGGCTGGAAGATGGACTTACAATGGCTGAATGGTCCTTTTGAAATTGATTCCCTGGGGTAGATGTAGCTCTATTGGGAGAACTCTTACACAACAACTACATAAATAATAAAAGTTGTTTTCTTAAAATTCCGTTTTAAACAGGTCTCTCTAGAGCTAGGCCTGGTCTATAATCCCAGCTGCTGTGGAGGCTGAGCTGGGAGGGTCTTAGAGCAGCCCAGACAACAGAGGGAAGGCCTTGCTCACTGTCATCCTGTCAAGCTTCCCTTACAGGCTATTCAGTGTCCTGAGTAGTTAGTGAGTTTGCCCTCTGTTTGGAGACAAGGTCTCACTATGTAGTCTGGAGTTTGCTGTATGGATCGAGCTGCCCTCAGACTTGCCATGATCCTTCTACCTTGGCCTCCTGAGTGTTGGGATTACAGGCACATGCCACTGAGACCAATTCAGTGTTGTATTAACATGATCAAATGGAAATAATACAGCGATGGCAATCTTACCAATTTTAATTTTTTTTAAGGCATTACTCCTTTTTTAATTACTGGGGGAAAAGATATATTTAACCAGATGGTTAGCTCTCATCCTCTCTCCCTCCCTTCCCCTTCCTGTCTAAGAGAATGTCTTGCTATGTTGCCCTGGTGTTTTGGTCACTGTTCTATTGGTGTGAAGTGAGACCATGACCAAGGTAATTTTTAAAAGAAAGTATTTAGCAGGGCGTTGGTGGCACACACCTTTAATTCCAGCACTCGGGAGGCAGAGACAGGTGGATCTCTGTGAGTTTGAGGCCAGCCTGGTATACAGAGCAGTTCCAGGACAGACTCCAAAGCTACAGAAAAACCTGACTCACCTAAAAAAAAAAGGGGGGGGGAAGCATTTAGAGGTTTGGTCCATTATCATGTCAGAGAGCATGGTGGCACTCCCAAGGACACGGTAGTACTGGAAAAGTAGCCAAGAATTCTATCTCCCCGATCAGCAGGCAGTGAAGCACTTCAAAACCCACCCCTGTGACACACTTCCTCCAACAAGGCCACACCTCCTAATCCTGCCGAATATATGAGCCTATAGAGGTCATTCTTATTCAAATCACACCTGGCTATCCCAAAATTCCTGTGCCCTAGTATTCCTTGACCTCAGCCTCTCCCTAGCTGGAACCACTGGAGTCTATCACTATGCTTGGAAATGTTTCTCTTTAGTCTTGACTAGCCCCTAAGTGTGTCAGTAGTTTAAAAATACAGTCTGAGCTGGACTGACATGGTAGCACACACCTGTAATCCTAGCATGTAAGGAGGCTGATGAGATCAAGACCCATCCCATATATGAACACTGGCTTCAAAAAAGACCCCCGCTCCCCCCAACTGCTTGCCTAATTTTTGGATAAGATCAATGGTGAAACAACAAAAAAATCCAGTGTGAAATGATAGTTCCAAGCATCTCTTTGTGAATTACAATGGTAAGGTCCAAACATTTTTTTTAAAGTAATATAACTGTATTTCTACAGATTATGGTTGTATGCTATAACAGATGTGTTATATGTTATGAGAACAACTTTGCTGAAAAGAATTTCCCATATTTTTCTTTTTTTCCTATATGAAAGGATTCCTAGATGAGGTTATGAAAAAGTATGGAAGTTTGGTCCCACTCAGTGAAAAAGATGTCCTTGGGAGATTAAAAGATGTCTTTAATGAAGACTTTTCTAATAGGTATGTCAGTAACATAAAAGCTAAGCCCTTAAAGATAGTTACTTCTGAAAATAAAATACATTTTATTTAAAACTTTTCTTTCAAAATCTGTTTTAGAAAACCATTTATCAATAGAGAAATAACAAACTACCGGGCCAGACATCAAAAGTGCAACTTCCGCATCTTCTACAATAAGCACATGCTGGATATGGATGATCTGGCGACCCTGGATGGTCAGAATTGGTTGAATGACCAGGTTAGTACATCACGGGTCTTCAGGGTAGAAATTTGCACAGGGATTGACCAATAAAACACATCTTTTGGGTTGGCTTTCCATTTATCTTTAGAAACAAGGTCTCTAATTCTTACTGAAGTGACTCAGGTTTTATTACCTTCACTACTGTCAACATGTTACTCATACACCTGGAGCCGTTCTGAATTGTATAGAGCTAATCAGTGGGTTTTAATTTTACAGGTTATAAATATGTATGGTGAGCTGATAATGGATGCAGTCCCAGACAAAGTAAGTGGGCGCTCCTCTTCACGAGTGTCCTTGTGTATAAACAGTAAAGTGGTTATTAGGTTTTTGTTTTAAACAGTATGTAATTATCTGATTTCTTTAGATTAAATGAGTTAGATTATGTCTTGGTTGTGCATTAGAGTCTGCCATATTTTCTATCAGATCATTTTTGCTTAAGCAGTTGTACACTACCTTTTATCCCAGCACTTTAGGAGGATGAGGCAGGAGGGTCAGAAGTTCAAGATCATCCTTGGGTTCATGGCATCATAGTAAATTTGAGGACAGTGTGGGCTACTTAAGACCTTGTTTTAAAAAACAAACCAAAACAAACTTTCTGGTTTTTCAAGACAGGGTTTCTCTGTGAAACAGCCCAAGCTGTCCTGGAACTAGCTCTGTACACCAGGCTGGCCTCGAACTCACAGAGATCCTCCTGCCTGTCTCCCAAGTTCTGGGATTAAAGGTGTGCACCACCACCACCCAGCCAAAACAATATTTTTGCTTAAGAAAGTCAGTCTCCTGCTGGGCTGTGGTGGTGCATACCTCTCTTGGGGCTAGAGAGATGGTTAACTGCACTGGTTGCTTTTCTAGGGAACCTAGGTTTAATTCCTAGCACTCACATACTAGCTTACAACTGTCCATAACTCCAGTTTCAGGAGATCTGATATGCTTTTCTGACTTCTGGGGGAACCAGAGGCAGAGACAGACAATCTTGTCTGAGTCCCAAAACAGCCAGGGCTACATAGAGAAACCCTGTCTTGAAAAAGACAACACACTGGGCAGTGGTGCATGCCTTTGGCCCTAGCACCCGGGAGGCAGAGGCAGAGGCAGGTGGATCTCTGAGTTCCAGGCCAGCCTGGTCTACAGAACGAGTTCCAAGATAGATGGAGCTACATAGAGAAACCCTTTCTCAAAATTAAAAAAAAAAGACAAAACTTTTCATTCCTCTTTTGTTCATTTTATGTTTCCAAATTCTTAAATTTCTATTTTCTTGTGAAGTTGAATCTGGGTGTGGCACAATGTAACCTGGTTGATTGTGTTTGTTGTTCTAGGTCCACTTCTTCAACAGCTTTTTTCATAGACAGCTGGTAACCAAAGGCTATAATGGAGTTAAGAGATGGACTAAAAAGGTATTCTACTTCCTTTTATACTGAATCTGAAATGGTGTAGGACCAGAACATTATGACAGTGTGGTGTCAGGACCTTCATGAGATGCTTCCATGTTTGGGAATAGGACACTAGTAAGAAAGCTCTCACCTCTGTGGGTTAGAATGTGCTGTAAGGAAGGAGCTTGCTGTGCTTGCTGGCCACCCTGGATAAGACATTTAACAACAGTTAGAATAAGATGCTAAAAATACCTACAGTGCCTTCAGTGACTGACTGTGTCACGACTTTTTTTTTTCTTTTTTTCTGGTGGTGCTAGGGATCGAGCCAGGGCCTTTCATGTGCTAGGAAGTGCTTTTGTCACTGAATTACAACTCTACCCTTGGCTTTACGAGTGTTATGTAGTTTATACTGATTTCTGACTCCCAATCTTCCTGGTTCAGCCTCCCAAGTGTCAGTTACAGGTGATCTTCACTATGCCTGAGTGGAAACACTTGAAACCTCTTTATAGTCTATTTTTGGTATTTTGACAGTAATACATTCAAACTCAAATAATAAAAATAGAAATAATTTTGGTTTTTGTTTGTTTTTTTACAAAAGGTCTGGGACTCATGTAGCTCAAGCTGCTCTGACTAGATATGCAGCCAAAGTTGGCTTCGAACTCCTCATCATCTTGCCTTTACTAAGTAGATGAATGCCACCATGCCTGGCATTCTTTTCACTTTTTTTTGTTTGGTTTCTATTTTTTGAGACAACGTTCCTCTGTGTGGCTTTGGAGCCTGTCTTGGAACTTGCTCTGTAGACCAGGCTGGCCTCAAACTCACAGAGATCCTCCTGCCTCTGCCTCCTGAGTGCTTTTGTTTACTTTTCACTTTGTAAGCTGACTGGGAGGACTGGAGAAATGAAGTGAGTCTTAGCTGGGCTCTGTAAGCCTATGTGGAGGTAGAAACACCAGAAGTTCGAGGTTCGTCTGGACTGTGTAAACTCTGCTATTTTGTTGTTGTTATTTTAAAAAGAAGCCAAGCAAGGTAGCATATGTCTTTAATTTTAGCACTCAGGAGATAGAGGCAGGTGAATTTCAGGGCAACTCGTTTATGTAGCAGGTTCCAGGCCAGCCAGGTCTATACAGGGAGAGCCTGTCTCAAAGCAACCAACCAGCAAACAATACCAAGAATAACTCTTAGATGGATGGAAATAAGGTTTATTTCTTCATTTAGACATCCCAAGCTAGCCTGGAATTCCCTGTATAGCTGAGGATGACTTCTACCTCAATGTTAGCATGATGTCTGCTTTGTGTAGTGCTAGGGATCGAATATGAGGCTTTGTGGATTTGAGGCAAACACTTGACAAAGTGAGCCATATCCCCAGACCTGGAAATAATTTTATACCAAGTGCAATATCTGAAGCATACAAATCTGAGATAGAATTCATATGCCAGTTCGGTGACTT